TTTAGTAAACATCGTGCCGTCTCTTTACCTCCACATAGGCCTTATGATTGCGCTATTGAGCTGCTCCCTGGTTCCACTCTGCCATCTAGTCGCCTGTATAACCTTTCCAGACCAGAACGTGAAGCCATGGAGAAATATATTGGTGACTCTCTAGCGGCAGGGCTAATTCGACCCTCCTCGTCTCCCGTAGGGGCTGGTTTCTTTTTTGTGACTAAGAAAGACCAGTCCCTCCACCCCTGCATCGATTATCGTGGGCTTAATGACATCACCATCAAGAATAAGTACCCTCTCCCTCTCATTGATCCAGCATTTCAACCCCTTCATAAGGCTAAAGTGTTCACAAAATTAGACCTCCAGAACACATATCATCTTGTCAGGATCAGAGAGGGAGACGAGTGGAAGACTGCCTTTAACACCCCTTTAGGCCACTTCGAATATTTGGTGATGCCCTTTGGTTTGACCAATGCGCCAGCTGTGTTCCAGGCCTTGGTCAACAACGTGCTGAGAGACATGCTGAACAAGTTCCTATTCGTTTATTTAGATGACATACTCATCTTTTCTCAGTCTCAGGAGGAATGCGTTCAGCATGTCCGGCAGGTTCTCCAGCGACTCCTTGAAAACAAGCTCTATGTTAAAGCCGAAAAATGCGAGTTTCACGTAACATCCGTGACCTTCCTGGGGTTTATTATTGAGCGGGGGCAGGTTAAAGCAGACCCAGCCAAGATTCAGGCCGTGGCTGATTGGCCTAGACCAACCACTCGCAAACAGTTGCAGCGCTTCCTGGGGTTTGCTAACTTTTACCGCCGCTTTATTAGAAATTTTAGCAAGGTAGCGGCCCCCTTGACTAAGCTCACCACTGTGAAAGCACTGTTCACCAGGCCCTGAAGCAGAAACCGCTTGGTGCTGCATCATCCGGACCCCTCCCTCCAGTTCGTGGTGGAGGTGGACGCCTCGGACACTGGCATTGGGGCAGTACTGTCCCAGCGATCCCCCAAGGACCAGAAGCTGCACCCCTGCCCCTTCCTCTCCAGACGCCTGTCCCCGGCAGAGAGGAACTACGATGTTGGGAACTGTGAGCTGCTGGCGGTGGTGGTAGCCCTCCAGGAGTGGAGGCATTGGCTGGAGGGCGCAGCCCTCCCGTTCATCGTGTGGACAGACCATAAAAACCTGGCGTACCTCCGCTCAGCCAAGAGGCTCAACTTCCGCCAGGCCCGGTGGGCGTTATTCCTGGATCGTTTTGTTTTCACCCTCACCTACCGACCTGGGTCCCGCAATGCCAAGTCAGATGCCCTTTCGCGCCAAGCTGACCCCGAGACGCTGGAGACTGAACCAGAGACCATCCTCCCGGCTTCTTGTGTGGTGGCAGCGGTTAATTGGCAAATTGAGGCTCTGGTGAAGCAGGCGCAACGTTCACAACCTGACCCAGGTAACGGCCCCCCTAACCGGCTTTTTGTTCCAGACTCTACCAGGTCCCAGGTCCTCCAGTGGGCTCACGCCTCCAAGATCTCTTGCCATTCCGGTTACCAGCGAACACTGGATTTCCTACGGCGGAAGTTTTGGTGGCCATCCATGGCGAGAGACACAAGAGCTTTTGTAGCCGCCTGTTCTGTCTATGCCCGTGGTAAATCCTCCCACCAGTCACCAGCTGGACTATTACACCCCTTGCCCGTTCCAAGTCGCCCATGGTCTCACACCGCTGTGGACTTCGTTACTGGTCTGCCTACCTCGGAAGGTAACGACTCTATCCTCACCATTTTTGATCGTTTCTCTAAGTCTGTCCATTTCGTGCCTCTGCCCAAGCTCCCCTCGTGTCTAGAAACTGCCAAACTCCTAGTCACCCATGTGTTCCGTCTACATGGAATCCCTCAGGACATTGTCTCAGACCGTGGTCCACAGTTCGCCTCCCAGGTTTGGCGAGCCTTCTGCCAGGCCTTGGGCGCTTCAGTCAGCCTCACCTCTGGATACCACCCACAATCCAACGGCCAGACAGAACGGGCAAACCAGCAATTGGAGGCAGCCCTGCGCTGTGTTGCCGCCCGGCATCCGGTCTCCTGGTGCACTTATGCATATATATATATGCACACAACTCCCTCACCTGCGCTGCCACAGGTATGTCCCCATTCATGATGGCCTATGGTTTTCAACCTCCTTTGTTCCCCTCTCAGGAAGAGGAGGTGGCGGTCCCATCAGTACAGGACCACCTGCACCGCTGCCGGCGGATCTGGACTGAGGCTTGTGCAGCCCTGCTACGGACTGCGGCTAAAAACCAACGCCTGGCGGACCGCCACCGACTCCCTGCCCCAGATTACACTCCTGGCCAGAAGGTGTGGCTGTCCTCTCCAGACCTGCCTTTGCAGGTAGAGTCTCGAAAGCTGGCTCCACGATTCATCGGACCTTTTGAAGTGGACAAAATCATAAATCCTGTGGCGGTAAGGTTAAAACTCCCTTCGTCATTACACGTGCATCCTGTGTTTCACGTATCTCTCCTGAAGCCTGTCTCCTCCAGCCCTCTGTGCCCTCCGGCTGACCCTCCTCCGCCCCCCCGGCTCATCGACGACCACCCAGCCTACACAGTTCGCCAGATCCTGGACGTCCGACGGTGGGGCCGGGGTTTCCAGTATCTGGTGGATTGGGAAGGGTACGGGCTGGAGGAGTGTTCTTGGGTTCCCCGGCACTTCATCCTGGACTCCTCCCTTCTTTCGGACTTCTACCGATCCCATCCTGACATGCCCAGTAGGCTGCCAGGAGGAGTCCGTTGAGGGGGGGGGGTACTGTCATGGCTCTGCTCCCCTCCTCCTCCCTTTGCTCCTCCTCCTTCCCTGTGTGTCTGATGAGGGTGCGGCCTCCATTCTCCTCACCTGCTGTCTGCTGTCTCACCTGCTCTCAATCATTCATCATGCCTCAGCCTTCAAGAACCCCGGTCTTCCTCCCAGTCATCGCCAGATTGTTCAGCCTATGTGGTGGTAACTCTCTTGGCTCCCTTCAGTATTTAGTTAAACAATTCAAGCTCTCTTTAGATTTTCCCTGTGCCTGTTCCCCAGCTAACTATTTCTCTCCCGTGCCCCCAGGGTCCCTTTGTGCAGTTTGGCTTCCTGTGTCTGCTCACCTGTGCCTCTGTGTCTCCGGTCCCTTTCGCCATTTCACCCACCCGTTCCTGCTGTGGCCGCCCCTCATCCCCCCTGTGTGTGTGTGTGTGTGTGCGTGTGGAATAAAACCCCTTTAAATCTTCCAAACTGCTCCTGGGTCCAGTCCTAACACCAGCCGTATCCTGCCGCAAGATTCTGCAGCGCATAGTGAGAGCAGCTGAAAGGATCATTGGTGTCCCTCTTCCCCCCCTTCGGGACATTTATAACACCCACCTCAGTGGCAAAGCCATCAGGATTGCAGGTGACCCCACCCACCCATCTCACAGCCTCTTCAGCCTGCTGCCATCAGAGACTGAGACGGAGTCTCCGGGCCAAATCCAGCAGGCTCAAGGACAGTTTTTTCCACCATGCTGTCAGGAGACTCAACTCCCTTCCTGCTCTACCGTCACTCCCAACTCTGACCACCCTCCCCCTCTGCCTTTGCCCCCCCCACCCCCGTTTTTTTCATCCTGTAAATACCCAAGTGCCTTAATTCTTGATTGTTATTTATTTTATGTCTTTTTTATTTTATGTCTGTTAAATTGTTGATTATTTTATGTCTTGTTGATTGTTTTATTTTTATGTCTTTTTAAATTGTTGATTGTTTATTTTATGTATTTTCTATTTATAGAAAATTTATTTTTTATTGCTAGTGTGCACCGTGGGTCCGAGAGGACTGAAGTTTCATCTGTGCTGTATGTCGTGTATGTATAGCATACTTGACAATAAAGCTGACTTGACTTGATGTCCACAAATGGGATCCTTGTTTATGTCCCTGGAGAGTCAAAGTCAAGGTGAGGATGTAATGCAGTCCCATGTTGACTGCCTGCCTATTCACTGAGCCCTAAGATAGTTCTGTTTATACTACTTTCTAGAGTAGATTGTGACTACAGGAAGAAGCGTGTAGTGTAGTGGCCGTGCTGACAGTCCACACGCAAATTGAAGGTATGTGGATGTCCGCTCAGAGCCTATGCGTATAATCTTTGATGACGAAAAACAGATGCTCGCATACTTGGATGCAGGGGAAGATGAACTAGAGTCCCAACGCAGTATGGAGGATAGAGCGATAAGTGTCTGTAACAATGGTCCAGTGTTCGAGGCATTTTAACCAAAACTAAATTGGTTCGAGACCCGAACAGTGAACCAAAAAGTAACAGGTTTTCCTTTTCATTTTCTTCAAATGGTTAAAAACTAGGTGCTTAAATCGTAACGGGGCCCTGTCAGTGGAAAAGTCCTACCTTTGGTGGTATTCTTAAGATTCTGGGTGGGTCAGACATTTGTTGAGGGGATTTTTTGATCCATCTGCCCAGGGAACGTCTTATGATCTAATTATATATATATATATATATATATATATATATATACATCATCCCTGACCACAACTCAATTTGCCTGAACCTCAGTTTGATCCTGTAGAAAATTTGCCATCATCACAACTTTCTTTTAATACTTTTAGTAACATCATGTTATGTTTCCTAAAGTAAACTTTATTGAGAAAGTGCGTTTGAAACCAGAGTTCTATGGTGCTGAACTGCAAACACTGCAGAAAAATTTAAAAGAGGAAGTAACAATAAATCACCAAGATCGTTGGACTAATGTTCGTAGACGGCCCCAGTCAGTCTTCAATGGCTATGGGATACAATAGTTCATTAGGTAGTGCCAGTCCACGTAGTGCTTTTTAGGTCATTTTAATAATTTTCTATTCTGCATTCAGCCAATAACCAAGGAAGGCTACACTGGTAAAATTTGTGATCTACATTTTTTATTAGTTAAAAGTTTAGCAGTCACATTTTGGACCAACTGAAGCCAAGACACAGAAGAGCATTAATCCTCAAAGTTGTGCAGAGGCTGTTCTCTTCCATTACTGACCTGCTGACACGTGATGGTGTCACATGAACTTGGTGTGAGATCATAAACAATACGCAAGGTTTGGGGAACCTTGCAGAACAGGTCTGCCCACACGGTAGCGATCATGGCATCTAACCTACTAACTTTATGCACAGAAAACGTGTATGTGGATGTTTCTGGGGCTTTGCTGTAAAAAGCACTAGGAATACAAACTTGACAGGATTAATTGTGCTTTTATTCTCCAGTTACATCAGTAAGACATTTTTCATGTTGTAAGTGTTGCTTGAAGATGGTGTATGCAAATCAAACTCAGACCAACTTCACTGTTGGACTGCAGTATGAGGGGTTACTGGGAAGACTGTTTTCCTCCACTCTGACTACAGTACCATGCTGTGTATTTCTCTTTATTAATGGGACCATGTTATTCACCTTGAGGAGTAAATCTGTGTTTCGTGAGACCTCTCGTTACATTCTTCTGTTTAACCTCCTTTTTGCAGACACTGTATTACTGGCACTGAGTCAGTTTCTGTACCTACTGGCTTCTTGCACAATAACACTGTCGTATCCTGTGTGTGGTGTTATTACCATGCTCACCAATCTCACAAATGAAGTCTCTCCTCTTACACTGGTGGTGATGTGTCTGGAGAGATATGTAGCTGTGTGCTACCCACTGAGACACGCTAGCATTGTCACCATCAGAAACACAAACATGGCTATCATTGTGGTTTGGGCCTTCAGTTCACTGAATGTCTTTATTCGAGTTGTTTTGCTGTTAGATTTTCCATTTTCAGACCTGGACACTCTGCAGATGACCGACTTTTGCTCTCACCTAGCCATGTTTCTTAACCCAGTGTCTAATATTTATGACAAAGCATACACTGGTTTTCTGTTTACTTCAGCTGGTGTTGCAGTTATTTCTTCCTATCTCGGTGTGGTGATAGCAGCCAGGTCAGCCTCCACAGACAAAGCTTCAGCCCGTAAGGCTCGTAACACACTGCTGCTGCATCTGGTGCAGCTCGGCCTCACTCTCTTGTCAACTATACAGAACCCGCTGCTCATAGCTATCTCACAAATTGTAACAAGAATAGTAATTGTGCGTATACAGATTACTTTGCATGTGTGTATTTTCCTTTTCCCAAGATGTCTGAGTGCTTTCATCTATGGCCTCAGAGACCAGACCATCAGACCCGTCCTCATGTTCAATCTCTGCTGTCGACTGAAACGCTCCGTCGTCCCAGCGAAGGCTGAGAAGTCGAGCTTGGTTAAGTTTTCGGGGAGACCTAGGTTAGTCACAATATCTGGCTTCAGTTGTTGAGGAAGAAACTAAAAACACCCTTTTATATTTTTGAAAACAAGAAATGTTCATTTGTTAGAACAGGATATGCCAGTATTCATAGGAAGCCACTGAGGCTGCATTTATCTCTCTCAAAAGATCTATATCACTGTGTGGGACTCATTCTGAATTTATTACATTTTAATCATTCAATTAAAGTTGTTTTGCTGCACCAAATAGATTTACATTTCATTTATGACTAAAACAAACAACAACAAACAAGCATTCATATCCTCAAACACAACTCAAAACTCTCTAGAACAGGGGTCTCCATTGTAAAAAATACCCTTTTCCTAACACTTGCAATGACGTGTACAAATGGGTTCTATTGAGTCAAAACATTTAAATACATTACTGAAAGGTTTTTACTAGTTAAAAAGTATATTGAGACAAGCCTTTATTACATGATCTGAGTTGAAACCTTAGTTTTTTGTTCTGTCCTTCTGCATTCGCCATTCACTCTTCAAGAAAGTCATTCAGCCACATTGAAATATGTTCCATAATTTAATTAAGCAAATTAAAAGATGAACTTTTGAGTGTAACTTACATTTAAAAAAAGTACAACAACAAACATCCGCTCGGCTTGGAACAAGTCAGAATCATGTGTTTCAACCGGTGTTTTATTTATTTCATTCTACATTTCTACCGACTCTTTCTATGCAAACTAAAGTTTCAAACAGGCTTTACGTGTAAGCACACACCTCGCCAAACACAGAAAACAGCTCTGAAAAAGTTCTCCTTAAAAACAATATGGTGTGTTTAGGGTTATAGTATGTTTAGGGTTTGTAATGGCAATCTTTAAGAACCTACACAACCCTTTGACCTGGTCATTGTAAAACCATTCATCTATGGCTATTTTGTTTCATCTTGTTATATTGTTTTCTCTGTTTTCGTCATCTTACGTCTGTCATATGCACCAGTCTTAATGTTGGAATGTTTAATGTCTTGCAATGATGCAAATAATAATATTAATTATTGATTATTCTCCCTAAGTTCATTAAACTAAAGCCTGTTTTTAAAATGTAAGCACTGAAAGGTACTAATACTTGTCTGTGGGGCCTCTTGCCAATTGTCTTCCTCTCTCTTTGTAGCCACCAGACTTTTAACCAGAACCAGTCGTCGGTCCCACATTACTCCTGTTCTCGCATCTCTTCATTGGCCTCCTGTAAAATTCGGAATCAACTATAAGATCCTACTGATTACATATAAGGCACTTCATGACCCACAGTTACATTTCAGATCTCCTTGTTCCTCATTCCACTCCTCGACCACTTCGCTCCTCAAATCTTGGCCTTTTATCAAATCCCCGCTCTAACTGCAAACCTAAAGGTGACCGTGCCTTTGCTGTTTTAGCGCCAACATAGTGGAATAGTCCTCCCTGTTCATTTAGATTCACTGAATCTGTGGACTGTTTTAAGCAGCTTTATAAGCCTTTTTATAGATCTCCTTGTTTGTTTTCTCATCTGTCGTCTCTCTTTTAATGTATCCTTTCCCCTTGTTTTATCTTCCTTATGTTTGTATTTACATGCTCCCTATGTTTGTTTGATTGGGTATGATTATGCATGTACATATTTATGTGTAATACCCATATGTATGTTTGTTGTTTGTAAAGCACGTTGGACCTCTGAGTTAAAAAGGTGCTATATAAATAAAGCTTTACTTACTTACTTACTTACTTACTTACTTACTTATGTAGCCTTAAAAAGGTTGGAGACCCCTGATCTAGAACTCAGTTCCATCATCAGAGATAAGGGTTGGACACAATAATATTAACACTTAATGTTAAATAATGTACTCCAAATAAATAAACAAATAAATAAATAGCTCTGAATAAATCTTCTGTGAAGCTGCAGCTCAGATTGTGTCAGAGAGTTCTTTCTGCAGCCAATGTTCGTGTTGGTGTTTGAATTTTAATCTTTTATGATTCTCTCACACAGTAGCAGCCTTTATAATTGAATTTGTATGTACAGTGCAGTCAGAAAGTATGAAGACAGTGATGTCTTTATACATTGTTTTGGACCTGTTTCAGCACTGTGGAGGTGGGTGTGGTTTGCACTCAGCTGCAGGAGAGAGAGGTGTGGGGAAGGCTTGTGAGAGCAGCACCAGGTGAGTTGATTACCTCAGCTGCTAATCGTTGCCTAATCACTCTAACCCTTTATCTTGCTGTAGTGTGCTGGACCTGGGAAGGGAGATGTTACTGAGAGCGAGAGCAACAGAGTAGCGGAACACATTGAGTGTTGTTTGTGTTGGTAACAGCGGCACTTAAATAAAAGTTGTAAATAATGTTATAAGGAGTACGGTCTAGACCTGCTTTATTTGAAAAGTGTCCTGAGATAACTTCTGTCATGAATTGGTGCTATACAAATAATAAAATAAAATAAAATGTAATTGAAAAAATTTGAAAACTTCTAATGTTTTTGTTTTAATCTGTACTGGCTTAATTGCTAAAAAAACGTATTACCTAAGACAGAAACAGCCTACAGTCATCGGAAAAGAAAGCGTGGTTTGGATTGAGACGATCCATCCAGCAAGATCAGAATGACTAGACCACCACAGCGGGTTCTGTTGCCCCAAAAGGAAAGGAAGAGAGCCAGATAGGAGCCATGCTGGACCAGCTTAGACTTAATGCTGCTAATGTAAAGTTTTGGAGGAAAAGGAAATCAGCCTGGCCAAATAACGAGAAATCAGAGACTGTTGCAGCCAATCTTTACAGAGACCTGCTCCAACATCCTGAATCCTCGACTGGCAGACCACATTTGGAGCCGATAGAGCCCCAGGACAAGAGGAGGCAGACTCCATGATGCTTGGTATTCAAATGCATTGAGTACTGTGGTTCAGAGGTAGAACGCCTAGTCCATTAATTGGACTCCTTGCTGCAACCCCAAATTTCTCCAGGTGCTGCGTCATTGGTGTGTGAATGTGAATGAAAGAGTTAGGTTTAGGGTTGGCTGTGTGAATGGGTGAATGTGGCATGTAGTGTAAAAGTGATTAGCCATCGAACAAATTCAACCAGATGCAAATTCAAAAGACAACCTGCACAATTTTTTACTGTATGTAGATAACTGAATGTATTGGTTTGTTTTATTTACTGATGATCTTTTTCTATGTATAGCATTAAGGAACTGCATTGTTATAAAACCTTGTGTAGTATAATCAGTAAATTAATAATTCAGTAAAACCGGTTCCTATAAATGTATTGCTGTACACGTAATTAGCAATGAAAATTTTTGTATAAAGTATATGCTTGTATGCAAGCTATGATTAATTCAGCAAAATACATAATGACGAAATAAACCATAGCAATTCAACCTAATTAGAAATGGGTGTTGTTCAATTACCTAGTCCTAACCTGTTTACCATGTGGACATGTGATGGTGTCATGTGAAATGGGTGTGAGGACAGAGCTCATATATGACGTGCTGGTAGGCAAACCCTGCAGACCAGCTCTGCTCACTCAGCACTCTAACCTGCTAAATGTCTACAGAGGGAAGGTATATTTGCATGAACTTGACTCTGCTGTTGGTGTTAGATCTTCATTGTTATAGGAATACAAACTGTGTTATTTTTCCAATGACGTCAGTAGGTTAATTGCTTCTCCAGAATGTCGTACAAAAATCAGTTTCCAGCCAATGTCACTGGTGAGCAGCAGTATCAGGGATTACTGGAGAGAGTGTTGTTTTCCACTCTGACCACAGTACCGTGCTGTGTGTTTCTCTTCATTAATGGGACCATGTTATTCACCCTGAGGAGTAAATCTGTGTTTCGTGAGACCTCTCGTTACATTCTTCTGTTTAACCTCCTTTTTGCAGACACTGTACAGTTGGCACTGAGTCAGTTAATGTACCTAACTGCTGCTAGCAGAGTGACACTGACATATCCTGTGTGTGGTTTTCTCAACATGGTTGGTGATTTGTCAAATGAAGTCTCCCCTCTCACACTGGTGGTGATGTCTCTGGAGAGATATGTAGCTGTGTGCTACCCACTGAGGCACGCTACCATCATCACTATCAGAAACACAGCAGTGGCTATCATTGTGGTTTGGACCTTCAGTTCCCTAAATGTCCTCATTCGAGTTCTTTTGCTGTTAGATTTTCCATTTTCAGACCTGGACACTCTGCAGATGAGGGACTTTTGCTCTGACCTAGCAATGCTTCTTGGCCCAATGTCTGATATTTATGACAAAGCATACACTTGCTTTCTGTTTCTATCAGCTGGTGTTGCAGTTATTTCTTCCTATATTGGTGTGGTGATAGCAGCCAGGTCAGCCTCCACAGACAAAGCTTCAGCCAGTAAGGCTCGTAACACACTGCTGCTGCATCTGGTACAGCTGGGCCTCAGTCTCTCTTCAACCATTTACAGCCCAATGCTCATAGCTCTTTCAAGAATTGTAACAAGGATAGTGCTTGTGCGCGTCCAGAATGTTTTGTACGTGTGTGTTTTTATCTTCCCCAGATGTCTGAGCTCTCTCATTTATGGCATAAGAGATCAGACCATCAGACCCGTCCTCATGTACCACCTCTGCTGTCGACTAAAACGCTCCGTCGTTACAGCAAAGGCTGCGAAGTAAAGCTTTGTCAAGGTTTTCAGGGAGGCCTTCATTAGTCACAATATCTGGCTTCAGTGGTGAAGCAAGACTGAAATTTAAATCACAGTTTCATAATTTTGAAAACAACAAAGGTCAGTATTGCTTGAAATGTCCTGAAAGAATCCTGTTTTTTAAATGATTACACACACACACACACACAAATATATATATATATATATATATATATATATACACCTACAACCAGCAACAGATTTGAAAATGATGTCAGTTTGTTTAAGTTGCTTTGATTTTACTTTCTCCTAAAATGTTCTAACATGTAGTTCTACCATGTATTATTGTGGGTAAAATGCTTCAGCAGGGGACACTTTATGCCTTTACTCGGTAGATAGCAGTAGAGAAAGATTAGAGGAACTGAAGAGTAAGAGATATTTAACAAAGATGTTGTGGGCACCGACATTCATTTGGATTTTTATCATTTTGATGTGATTATATACTGAATGGTGTGTTGTATAATAATGAAATTGATTAAAATCATATGGTTCATAAATGTAATTGTTGATAATAAATTGATTATTATCTAGTCAGACATAAAATGCATCTTGTCCCTCTGCTGCACCCATCTGCCCTGCTGATAAGAGCCTTCTGAACTCTACACACCGATCTATTCAACTTATTCTTCTTTGTCTGCTGTTAAATTACATTTTAGATGTTCTGGTAAAGGAAAAGCGATGTTGCAAATGTGAGAATATTAGATTATTAAAGGATTTTTAAATTACATTTTAATTTAAATTTACTTTATTTATACAGAACCTTTAATTCAAACATGCAGCCCAAAGTCCTTCACATAACAAACTGAAACAATACACTAAAACAATATGAACAACAGTAGATCTCTATTTGAAAAGTGTCCTGAGATAACTTCTGTTATGAATTGGCGCTATACAAATAAAATTGAATTGAATTGAATTGAATAGATCAAATTATATTATAAATGTTTATGGAAAAAAACATCAGGGGGACAAATAATGTAAAAAAATAAAATTTAAAACCTAAAAACTAAGTCTATAACATTACACACACAGTAAAAGCCAGATTAAAAAGATTTTTTAAATTCCCTTTTAAAATACTGAGAGACCTTATTATTCTGATATCCAGAGGCAGTGAGTTCAGCACTCCCACTTTTAAGGCACACGTAAGGAACATCTAAAAGAAAGGGGACCTCAGTGATCTGGCTGAAGTTTCTTCTGTATGGAGGAGCAAGGTCATTTAAAGCTTCTTAAAAACATAAAAGAACAAGACAGCTGTGCAAAAGAGATATTTTAAAAATATATATATTTTTAACTACACATTCATGTGTAGAGTAATAAGAAATAACTAATACAGTGAGGAAATACACTAGATGAATCTGCAAAAAACTCAGAATAAGATGACACAGATAGCTCCATAATTCAAATCTCAAAAGACAAAGTTTAATAAATAAACAAGACATAAATGAAAAGTATAAATAATATTCATAAGAAAATATTCTTGTGATTAAAGAGAGTTAAACAAAGGGAATACATCATCTGAAAATATGTTGACGATATGATGTGCAGACTTGATCCAGAAGTTGGAGACACAGTGTCTGACTGTTGATGATGATTGTAGAACAACTAAACCTAAAATATATTGTGAAGATTGGACATGCATTTACCTTTTGACCTTACGTCCACTTCCTGTTAGCCAGAGTGCATGTATTTGGTGGTTGATGCACTGTACTGCATATATGTGTGTGCGTTCTTGTAAAATAAATAGTAAGGGGATGGATGGGGCTTTGGTGGAGATTAGAGTCTTGGATATGTCAAAGATTAGCAACCACAGGGTGACCGTTAGATGTCAGGGTGGCAGACAGACAATTGCAGGAAGTGTTCTGGTGCATGGGAGTCTCATGAAGCTGTAGAGGAAGTGGATCTGCAACTGGAAGGATGTTCCTGCTCGCCCTCCATTCAGTGACCAGGTCTGAGATAGCCCTGTCGACGGGGGTGATGTGTCGGTCTGGAAGGGGCACCAAGCCCTAATTACCAAGTTTAGAGTAAGATACAATGGTGATGGGAAATAATTCAAGGCAGATTACATCACCAGTTACTGAGCTGTTCTGATGGTGTCACGTGAACAGGGCGTACAGCAAACCTGGTGTACAAGAAGAGAGGGCAGGCAGACCAGCTCTGCTCACATGGACAACAAGCACAAACTCTAACCTGCTCATTATCTGTACAGGAATGCATGTGGGTGATTTTGAGATTGTATGGATCTGACTTGGCACATGTGCTTCAAATGTGTTTTTTTGTTTTCATTGTTCTCAGATGACAAACAGAAAGTGATTTAATGGACTTCTACTTCTACTAAATGCTTCTCTGAGATGTCGACTCAGTCTCAGACTAACGTAACAATTGGACTGGGGTTCCTGGAAAGAGTGATGCTTTCCACTCTGACTACACTACCATGCTGTGTGTTTCTCTTCATTAATGGGACCATGTTATTCACCTTGAGGAGTAAACTTGTGTTTTGTGAGACCTCTCGTTACATTCTTCTGTATAACCTCCTTTTCTCAGACACAATCCAGATGTCACTGAGTCAGTTACTGTACCTGCTGTCTGCCTGGAGATTAAGACTGACGTATCCTGTCTGTGGTCTTCTTGTCATGTTTGCCGGGCTCACAAATGAAGTCTCCCCTCTCACACTGGTGGTGATGTCTCTGGAGAGATATGTAGCTGTGTGCTACCCACTGAGGCACGCTACCATCATCACTATCAGAAACACAGCAGTGGCTATCATTGTGGTTTGGGCCTTTTGTTCACTAAATGTCCTCACTCGAGTTCTTTTGCTGTTGGATTTTCCATTTTCAGACCTGGACAGTCTGCAGATGACAGATCTTTGTAATTCACTAGTCATGTCTATTGGCCCAATGTCTGATATTTATGACAAAGCATATACTTGTTTTCTGTTTACTTCAGCTGGTGTTGCAGTTATTTCTTCCTATATTGGTGTGGTGATAGCAGCCAGGTCAGCCTCCACAGACAAAGCTTCAGCCCGTAAGGCTCGTAACACACTGCTGCTACATCTGGTACAGCTGGGCCTCAGTCTCTCTTCAACCATTTACAGCCCATTCATTTTACTTATCTCAAAAATTGCCACGAGATTAGTACGTGTACGTATGCAGAATTTTTTGTATGTAGTTTTTTTTATTCTGCCCAGATGTCTGAGTTCTCTGATCTATGGACTCAGAGACCAGACTATCAGACCCATACTTGTGTACTATTTTTGCTGTCGACTGACACTCTCACCCCAGTCAAGGCTGAGGCCTAAGATAAATGGAGTGAATTAACCTCTCTATATGTTTTTTGAACTAATGCTTGTTGTTTTTTAGGTTTAACTATTAATTTGTTAGAATTTCTTGAAACACACTTATAGAATCTGTTCAAAATTATCATTCAACCAAGAAAAGCTGTTAATCACAAATATTTCACTGTGAATCTTATCGTTAAATGTGTGATGTAGTTGCAGCTCTTATGTATCTAGGGCAATTTCCTCAAACCTTTCAATTGCAGTAAATATGGGAGCAGTAACTATATGTTTGTGGCATAAAAATGAAATAAAGTAAAATGATATTAGATGCATATGAAGTATTTTGCTTTATTTCTGGTACTAAAATACACTATTACATGTTTTTTGTCCATTTAAGCTCAGGTTGTACATTAACTCAAGTACTGTACTTAAACAAAAATTTGAGGTACATTTCAATGTTATGCTACTTTATACTTCTACTCCACTACATTTCATAAGGAAATATTGTAGTTTTAACTTCACTACATTTATCGGATAATTTTATTTACAAGTTACTTTACAGATTATGATTAATGATCTAAAATAAAACAAACAAATCAATTATTATTAAATATTATAAAATAAGACCTGATTTTCAGAGGGAAATTCACAAACTGCACAACAATATGCAAAATGATTCAAATAAGTTTTTTTCAGCAGCAACATTAAAGTAATTCAGTCAAACGTTGTTAAATCTTGGAAACCTTGTATCTCCAGTTTGATGATAACAATTTGTATTCTTTGTTCAGGACATGGTTGGGATGACAAACAATGTTGTTGGCCAACCTTTATGTATTAATATATCGTAAAACTTCCAATAAAAGCAGGGTCCCTAATAGACACAGGCCCCCATTACAAGCCGGATGTGGCTACATGTTTTGACAAATAAACGCAGGCCTCCAATAGAGGCCTGGTGTGGATTTTATCTAAATTATTTCAATGTATAAAACCTCTTAAAACCCACCGGGTCGTCCGCTTGAACGACTTAAGGCGTTTAGATCACATACACAAAGATACGGTAAACGTTTAAACGTCTGTCAATATGGACATAATGCACATCGTTAGATCAGTTAGATTCTCCACTGTTCAATCCTTCAATTCATTTACACAAACTATGGACACCAACGCGTAATTCATTCAGACTTACCGGTAGCATGGTAAACGAGAGACGGAAAAAAAGAGCTGACTTCCAACTTTTGAAGCGATCATAAAGTCCGTACGGTCTATGTCCGTTCCTCCATTGTTTATATTCCTTAAGTCTGTAAGGGTCCACCGATCAAACGAATCAATGGGTTTCATTAAATTAGTCAGAGTTGTGAATAATATCATGTGAAGTCTGTTGCTCACTGTCTGTTAACTGTCTGTATGCTGGCTGTCGTAAATCTTCCGCTGCGCTGCTGTAAAACGACGTTCACGGTCGAGTGTCATGGGGGCGGCACCGAGAAAAAAGTACGACCTGAAATTAAAGCTGTCCGTTGTCAAATTTGCTGAACAAAACTCAGGAGAAGCAGCAGCAAGACATTTCTCTGTTGATCCAAAAAGAGTGAGAGAATGGCAGAAAATTAAGCTGAACAACAACGTCTGTCGGAGGAAGACAGTAAAAGGGCCAGACTGCGCGGTGGAGGGAGGAAGAAGTCTAGTGAAGAGCTGGAGCTACAAGTGTGTGAGTGGATCCACAGCATGCGGGCACGACACCTCAGAGTTTCCCGCAATATGATCAGGAAGAAGGCTAAAGAAATTCATGCCACAGTGAGTGACAGAACTGATGTGGAAGTCTTTGCTGCTAGTGCTGGCTGGCTTGATACATTTCTCCATCGCAATAAGTTGTCTGTCAGAAGACGTACAACTGTTGCTCAGAAAGACGCCAGGCACTTCACTGGGAAGCTGGTGAATTTTGTCACATTCACAACGCGTTTGATTGAGAAAAGGAAGATACAGGCGAAGACCATCATAGCTATGTATGAGACGGCGGTCAGGTTTGATATGGTTGCCTCGACTATGGTGGATACGAGAGGTGCGCGTAGTGTTCCACTTGAAACTACGGGCCACGAGAAGAGTCACTTAACCGTGGTGCTGGCTGCGAAAGCGGACGGGACAAAACTGAAGCCTTATGTGGTGTTCAAAGGGAGTGTCAGGGAAGTCTAATGCAAAACATCAGTGGAGTGATGGTAGCATCCTCCAAAAATGGCTGGATGAATGAGGATTTGACTGCAGACGGCTGAGAAAAGTGGTGGGGAAACTAAACTTCGGTCCTCGTCTGCTGGGATTCTTACCGATGTCACATCAGTGCTGCCACCAAAGCGGAGCTCAAGTGGGGCTACAACGTAACCATGGCTGTCATACCTGTAGGTTGTACAAAATACATCCAGGCCTCTGATGTCATGTGGAATCAACCATTCAAAGCCAGTCTGCAT